GGCTTAGGAGCCTTAGGCCTCAGCTCCGAAACCCAGGCGGTGGGCTTTGGGCCGAGAGCTTCACGCAGACGGCGGGAGCCAGAGCTGAGTTTGAGAACTGCATCGCCGAACGCAACGGAGTTTGGGCGGCATTACGACAATCTTTGAGCCCTAGCCAGTTCTTGTTCTTTTCTTGTCGGGTTGGGTTTGGGGGGATTGCGCATCTCATTCTCAGATGTTCATTTGCTGTGGTGTTGTTCCCTGCACCAGGGAGACTTTTGAGACTATGTATTGTTGGGAAACCAGACATAGAGAGTTTTGGCTTTCCTTCTGCGTCATCTGCAGCGAAGACAGGAGCCTCGGCAGGACCCTGGCAGTCTCTCACCCCCAGCAAGTCCGTCAAGACACTGCGGATAGCTTACAGTGTTACAGTAAGGCCCCGCCTTAATGCGTTTTTGTGGTTTTGTGCATTTTGGCTCTGTTGGTGTTCCGACGTAGATCCCTGTTCCACCTGCGCAACAGCCCGGTAACCTGCATAATGTGGCATGGACAGCTGATTTAAGCAGTCTGCTTCATTCGAGGGTATTGCAGCCATCCCTTATCCTGCAGCTCTCAGCACTTTTGCCCCTGCTGCCCCGTTTCCTCGACGTCTCAGGCGGCGGCTTATATGCCGATTATGAGCTCTCAGGCGATGGCGCCAGTTTCTTCACGACATGCCGCGCGGACGAAGGCAAGGGAGCCAGTTGGCAAGTTCGGCATTCTTAAATGAAATGTCAGCAGAACTACTGCCCCGCTCATGCCAGCATCGTGAAATTTATGATTGACCTTCGCACATCTGAATGCAGAGCCTCACTTCAGTTTGGACTGGCGCCTGCGCATGTGGGCGCCGAGCAGCACCGACCTGGACTCTTTGTAAATTGTGCCGCGTTCAGAGTCCGAAGTGAAGAACCTCAAATGTGTTTGAGTCGGTTTCAATCTTGTGGGGCATGCGCTTTTGGACAAATACATTTTTCTTCGTTTTCTAAGCGAATGCTTTGCCTCTGTGCCCCCCTTGGCAATGACTGGGTTCAATACTCCGTGCCGTGCCCCTCAACCCTGAGCCGTAAATCCAGCCGTGTGCTTGTCCGAGTTGTGAGAGTGTAAATCCAGCCGTGCAGGCGGTGGAGTGTACATCACCAGCTCTGCGAACCACAGCGGTTCACTCGTCTTTCAGGCCGGGACAGAAAGTTGGTCTTTGAATCCAGTTGTTTTGAAAGAAGTGCAGGCGTGCAGCGCCCGCACCGAAGGCGGTGGGGTCTACTTCAATGGGAAAGCAGGACTTGGCCGAACATTTCCAGCTCGAGGTTCCTGGCGTGCAAACTCATACACAATGATCAGACACTGCGCAGGAGACTTCAAGACCCTGGAGTTCGACGGTTGCAGTGCTAGCACGCTTGCAGCTGCCTTCAAAGCGGCAGCGAGAGGGGTGGAGGTCCATGTCAAGGACTCGGGTTTTCTGCAAGGCTCGACGCTTTGGGCTCCATCAAAATGGAGTATCGCAGCCACTCAGAACGGTTGACGGGCCGAGCGAGCCAGCGAATCTGCGAGTCAGAGTCGACGTCAGTTTGAATAAGATTCATGCAATGGCTAAAAGTTTGCGTAAAAATCCGACTGACTACTGTAGTGCAAGTTTGACTTGCCTCTTGGACGAGCATGCTTTAGGGCCATGATAGGCGGGCCGTTGTTGGACCTGCTGACCTTGAGAGCTGTCTGCATTTCACGGCCGCTTCCCCATTGAAACTGAGCATGAGTTCAGTTTTGCCCTTCAGTCCCCTGCGAGCACACGCCTTGTGCCCAATGCTACATACTGGTTGCGCACGTAGCAACAAGGAGGAAGCGTCATTGCAACCAAACTATCACTGTGTCATCCACCCATGAGGGCTGGCATTAGTCATTGTTGCAGACAGCACTGTCCCCTGCTCTTCCATGCTACTCCGAATGCTGCTCAGCATAGCAGCCAAAACATGACCAAACAAGTCTAGCAGCCATGGCGCGTGCCAATGCGACTGACTCCTTTGAAACGGCTACATGCCTGAAACAATAAATGAGGTGACAACAAAGTAGCACTGCAGCACCCTTCTACGATGTGGCCGCATGTCTTCAGTTAGCTAGATGAACTTGAAGAGCAGGATTCAAAAGTGGCGGAAGCTTGCGTACCCGGGGTGTCTGTGGCCGAAAAACACCTAAGAAGACTGGAACTCAGTTGTGGCAAATTTTGCTTCTGGGAACAAAAAAAGATGGGCATATAGCTACGAGTTGGATGTTGTGCGAGTCTCGATACACCCTGTTCCTGGTGATCGGCATTATGGAGCACAACTTTGATGAGCTTGATCCTGGCTCCTCAAAAAGCATCCCATCCCGGAAGGACCTGTCGCTGCGTGATGGTGGGGCACGGAACGTCAAAGACGTCAGCGTGTCAGGTTGGGACCTGACCCTACCTGCTCGCCCCTTTTTTTAGGCATCTCACCTTCGAGAAGATGGCGAAGAGTTCACGATCCGAAATCAGGGAAGTGGGATCTTGTAATGAGCAGCAAAGGGGAGGGATTCCTGGGTTTGAGCCGGTTGCAGGTCGGGGCCGTAGTGACTCTACGGCAAGTCTGTCGCCACGGGGAATCAATTCACGAGTCGGCCGCGGGGGGAATTGCTGAGATCGGCAAGCCGGTAAACCCGGGAACCTACAGCTTGTGTGCGCATCAGGTGACCTGAGAATCGGAACGGCTCGGCTCAGCACAACAAAGAAATTTGGGACTAATATCTTGGCCCAGTCCCTGGTGCTTGACGCTCGGCTGCCGTCTGGTTTGATGCAAAGGTTTCTAGAGTTGTTCTGGCTTGTCCAGCATCAGTTGGTTGGTGACGCGAGGAAGAAGCGGTAGACTGCACGAGGTCCACCACTTGCAACTACTCAGCATTTGTTGAGGCTTTGCACCTGTTTCTTTGTTGTAGAACCTGGCGCGCGATGTGTGTGAGATGCATCACGAAAGACCCAAGGCAGTTTCAACGCAGACAAAGTTGGACCCGCTGAATTCAGGTGCCCTGTGGGCACAGGTGTGGTGCCGCACAGTCGACTGTATGACTTTGGGTGCCTGGCACCTCTGGCTTGCATTATCAATTACGCATTGCAAGGGTTTGCAGCTTGTCCTGCGAAGCCGGAGGTTTGAATGCCAAGTTAGCAAGTTTGACATGCAACTCATGCAACCGATGCGGAGCCACATGAGGAGGTGGTCGGAGTTTTCGGAAGCCCCAGCGACTCCAGTTTTTTTTATGTGCCTGCCAGGCATGCGAACCAGGCAACACGCAGACCATCAACGGAACCAGCAGGCCCGACGGTCCGGCAAGCAGGGTTCTTTGGGGAATGCCAGGTTGTAGGTGTAGCACGGGCTAAGGGCCTTTGACTTTCCCTTTTTTGTTCTGACAGGCCGTGCGTGACCTGCGTTCTCGCCGTCGCTGGTCTTGAGGTTTGTAATGTACGCTTGGCTGCTTGACCATTTCTATCTTGGGCCTTTCAGGATGCAGAGCCCCGCTAAGGGGCGAGTTAGACTTGGGACATCATCATTACCTCGCTGAGTCTCGTTCCACATATGTTTGTCATTGGAATCCATTCAGCCTGAGCCAAAAAAGAATGCTAGCCTTCTAGCTGGGTTCCGCATCTAAGAGCTAATTGGAGACAAATGGACCAACTGACTTGTGGCTCATGTTCCGGAAGACAGGAAACAGCTGTAAATCGGAAGGCTCTCATAGCAGAGAGTGCAGCGTGCCAATGCATCATCCAAAGTTTCTAGGATATGTGGATGTGAGTGTCTTAATTTACTTAGTTCCTATAGGATCTAAGAATCTAGGGTACATATTGTAAGTAAACCAGATGATGCAGATCCTGGTTTGAACCCGCACGCTTCCCCATGCCAACTTACCCCAAACCCCACGCTCCGAACCCCCTTCATCTCCAAACCCACTCTACATGAAACCCCACCCTAAACCATCTGAAACTCGGTTTGCATCCAGTTCATGCAGCGGCTGCCCAGCGGGCGCTCGAGTGTGTTTGGCTGACCGTCTGGAGATGGAGTGCCTGGGCAAAGAAGCTTTCAAGGTGTAGGAAATGATTTTGTAGACGTTCAGAGTTTTAACGGATTTTTCCGCGCAACATCCACGGTCAGCTTTCCAGCCCGTCGCAGCATGGGCCGCGAGGTCCCATGTTCCAAGGGTCTTCCTGCCAATTCAGTCTCAGAAGCATCATCAACGATCTCGGGTCAAACGTGCACCCGAATTTCTCCAAGTCCCTCAGGGGCAGTAGCAGGGATACTTGACCCATCTTGAATCCAGAAGTGCACAGCGGTACGCCCAACTGGATGCGGATGAATAAAGCTCCATGGCATCGCCCGAAGGTCGGGAGTCATGGTGGAGACGGGCAACATAAGCCACA